TAAGACTATTAACACTGGAAGGGTACGATTTACAGACTGGTTGGCATACATTTTTGTGGTATGAAGGAGGTAAAACCCATAGTTATTTCAAGATGCATTATATAAGGAATGCTTTACTAATAATTTGGGAGAAAATCAAAAAACAAAAATATGGGAAAAAAATAATTCATGAATAGTGGTGCAAAGCTGATAATAAAACAAATGCTGTTATAAGAGTTAAAATTTATAGCAGCATTTTATAACACCAAGAAAAGTGACTTCAGGTTTTTTTGAGAACTCAGTTTTTATTTATGAAATAGTACATAAATCTCTACCAAGCTGCAATGCAACAGTAGCATGTTAGGAACGTCTAGTCCGTCTTAGTTTTTTACTCTTGTCTTCAAACAGCTTTTCTTTTCTTATCTGTCTTAAGTAATTTTTCTGCCTTGCTTCTCCCACCAGTAACCCTACCAGCCTGTATCTTTGTGTATGTGAACAGATTAGTAAGAGTTAGTCATTAGACCTGAATAGAATTTTCATCAAAACGTGAAGTGAATGTCAGTGTGTGTAAATAATTAATTTTCTAAGGTTGTAAATATTTGCTATCGAGTGTTTTAAATATTTTAGATGACATTTAATTGTTCACTGATATATTAACTAATCCTTTTAAATTAAATATATATATATATATATAAGTATAGCAGTATGATAGTGAGAGGATTACTTAGAATTTATTTGTATCTGTCAGCTATGAACTTATTTGAAAGGCTTTCCCTTGTAAATCTCTGCTGTTACAATTTCTTCCTTGCTCCCAAAGATTATGGTACCTTCATGGCTGATTTCTGTGGCTGATTTCTAAGCAAGTTAGTGGGCTCAAACATTCCCTCCAGTACTTTCCTTATTCAGCAAGCTGGAATTTGTCCTTTGTATATGTATGTATGTATGTATGTATGTATGTATGTATGTATGTATGTATGTATGTATGTATGTATGTATGTATGTATGTATGTATGTATGTATGTATGTATGTATGTATGTATGTATGTATGTATGTATGTATGTATGTATGTATGTATGTATGTATGTATGTATGTATGTATGTATATATGTATTTAATTTCTTTTCATTTGTATCCCACTGAATCTTCACAGGATTCCTGGCAGTTTACAAAAAGCCATATTCTGAATGAGTTGAGAAAGGGAAATCTTTCTATTCATATAACTTTATCTGTCTCTCTTTTAGCTGTCCATTTTCTTGGCTATTCTTGAAGAAATTGTGGTACAAAGAGGCTTGAACAGTTTCTTTGCACCTTTATAGTTTACTAGTAGCTTTGCATTTTGTTTTCTGTTTCAGGCTGAAACCAACAAAGACCGTATTGAGCAAGCCAATGCAAGAGCCAAAAAGCTTATTGAGAACTGATAGCCATTGCCGGTTCTTTAGTCAACTGAAATCTTTTCTCGGTTTACAAATACCCTAAACTTCCAAAGAAGAGAAGCAACTGTTCAGAAACTGAAACAAAGCAGGACATTACTGTATATATACATATTTAGTTTAAAAATCCAGGAAAACAGCACAACAGAAATGTAGCTTTCTTATTCATGTTCATATCCTCAGGGCTTCATTTTTCTTGGTTTTGTTCTTTCTGTGAAATAGTCTTCCCCTTTTTTTTTCTTTACTCTGCTTGTGGCAACTCAGAGATGGAGTGCAAGACAACGGATTAAGGGAAAAAGAGAATGCACTCACTAGATTTAATTACCTCACTTAATATTGCATGTCATCACTGAAATGGTGGATGACTGATTTTCATGAAATGTATATATTTTTAGAAATTAAGCTGCCCCTACTTTTTCAAAATATTTGATTTCATTACCAAGCTTTTCATGATGAGGAAAAATGGTAATGTATTATAAAGTATACTTTAAAGCCATAACAATTCTAATTTGCATGCATACTTTTTGTAAACATACAAAAAGTACATATGTGATAATATGCAACTCAAAGAACTTTTAAATTATTTCCCACTTTCACCTCCAAAAGATTGGGCTTTTTGCTACCAGTCCTAATTTCTTTTGCTTCTTTCACAGAAACTCTGTTGGTTAGTGGAATTAGGGGAAGGGGCAGCCCACACAGCTCAGCATGGAGTTTCTGTTACTCTTGATCATTTGGAATCTCATGAGATTACAAGGAATATATGCCTTTATAAAAACATCCTGAACTTCCACCATTTTTTTAAAGAATGTGTATCCATAGGTATTAATACTGCTGAGATTGCTCTATGAAATCCCTATGTGGATCTTTTAAAATGTTTTATCAGCAACATACAAACTTACTTCGTAAAAGTATTCTTTACAGAAATGTGTTATCCCTCTTGGTATACACAATCTATACAATCTGTAAAAACCTGTAAGTGGGCAGCATATTGTGATTTCAATATTTATTAAAAGCATTTGGGAGGTTTAAAAAAATACATCAAAATCAGGGCACAATCTAAGTTTGAATGAAATCAAAAGCCATCTGCTTCTTAGTGATGTTAATAACAATACTGTTTCATATTTTCTATCTGGAATATACAAACATTCTCACTCATTCTTTTCAAAGAAATCAGTTTCAAGCACAACTTTGCTTTATTGTTATGAAAATTAATCTGAATTTGATCCAATTCACAATTTTTTTAAGCGGTATGGTTCTCCAGACACTACCAATTGTGATCTATTGAATTTGAATTACTACTTGTCAAGTTTCCTTTTTAAAAAATGTTGGCATGTAGCAGAACTAAGGATCCAAGGGAAGCCACCATGTATCACTTCTAATAAACTGCATGCGGTTGAATGGGTCACGTTGTATGTTTGCTGTAGTAAGTGCTTGGCCTAGCGTCTACTTGAGTTTGCTCCCATTTCAGGATTAAGGTTCTTGAGTTGGATCTTCTGTCATATGTCTATAGAAATGACTTAAATTGCAAATCTGCTAATGCCCAATCTTTCTCAAGAAAGCTTTAATTACTTTCTAATTAAGAATCCACCAAACTGTTGGTTTATTCAACAGCACGATATTTAATAGATCTTGCATTTTATTCAACTTGAGGCTAGAAAATTCTTCTACCTTGGATATTTTGCTGCAAATCAAAGGATTTAGCTGCAACCATCTAGATACTATAAAGAAGCTCAAAACAAGTTTCCTTATTGTACTGTGATTGTTCTTAAATAAGAATTCCTTCATGGCTTGCTTCTATACACATTTCCAACTGAGTGTTTTAACTAAGTTTTATTCTAGAACTTAGTCTTCCATATAACTTCTTGGGAACAACAGCATGGTGGAGTTGTAGCATAGTTTAAAACTGAGCACTTCCCTCTCAAATTACGTTGTTTATTAATATTGAAACAAATTACAGGATTTGAATGGAAATTCCTCCAGGAGCTCTATATGTTACTTTAATTTTTTTCTAGTAATGTTTTATGAAGCTCTAATTAGTTGAGATGCTGAGTGAAATGTTGCTCTCTAACATTTCATCACTAGACTCTATAGGAACCATGAACACCTGTTTAGTAATATTAAAAAACACTTGAAAATTGATTCCATTGTCATCTGGTATTACAATTTGTGCAGAACGATATTAAATGTCTTACAGCTTAATATCACAACACAAACAGTACAAGAGTCTGTTTTCAGCTGTAATGTAAACGAATACCCAAGATGTCCTTTCTTATACTTGCTGGGCTGAATAAATATAATTTATAAATCTTTTTACTCTTCAAGTGCCTGTGTAAATCTGAATGGCCTTAAACTGTTCTATGTCAGAATACAGACATACCCTGTGTTTTTGTTTGCACCTAACAATCCAACTTCCACTCCCCTACGCAGTACTGTAGGTGAACCATTACTAACTTCCATTGAGTAATGCAAGATACGGTCTGATAGCATAGTTACCTTCCTGAAATGAACAAAGTCTAGGAATTCCGAATTTTCCTGGAGTTTCATGATGGAAAGAAAAAAGTTTCAAGAAAAATCCTTTATGTCACAGGATGAATTGGAAGTAAAGAATATCTTCAATCATAGACCTGACGCAATGTGTAAACTACAACACGGCTTCTTGAATAAGCCAGTTGCCTATTAGGCAAATGATGTAGTTTAACATGAAACAAATTATAAGGTAGCACTAGTGGGAAAACCATGAACCGCTGTATCCGTACAAGTCAAATACAGATGCTGTATTACAGAGAGGTCTAAGAACTGGAATACACAGTCCCAATCCACTTAGGAATGGCATATTTTCCAAAATCCTCAAAATTGTTTTTCTTCAAAAACTTCAGTTAATCTTATTTGATGTAAGTTTATACCAAATGCTAAACATTTTTGCTGCAAATTATATTACTGTTTCTGTCCCCTCAGTGGTTAGGTGAGGAAGATCATACTCTGCAGAGTTTAGTTTTATATTAATATAAGCAGAACTTCAGACGTAAAGTGGTCCAGTTATCTGTCCAACACATCACATGTTGTTTGGCAAGGAGTAATTGTTATAACCCCATATGAAGAGAAATAACAGCTACCAATAGCTAAGATAAATTATTACAACTTCCTAGG